TGGGTTAATTTATTTTCGGATGAATTTGTGATCCAATGTAGCCGTGGTTCGTTTTCAAGTAGAAGAGTTGGTTCTCAGCTACTGACGTAAATGTTAAAGCCGTGGGATATTTGATATTTTGCCTTGAATATAATGCTGAAGTATGAAATGTATTGCTCTTGTGTGTTGACACCATTGAATGGTTATTCTGTGTGTTGAAGTTGAAGCATATTTTGTCCTTTTGTGTTTACACTGAGATACATATTGTCCTTAAGCGTTGAAAATGTGGGACGATCTGTCCTTGAATGTGTTGAAGTTGTGGTATGTTGTATCCTTTTTGTGTATACACTCAGATACATACTGAAATATTGTCCTCTAGATTTAAAGTGTAAAGAGTTAGAGAAGTTATCATTGAACGTGTTGAAGTTGTGGCTTAATTTTTGTGTTGTATTGCATCCTGGTATATTTATATGTTTTGTGTGTTGACTTTGTTATCTATCATTTTGTGAACGAATTCTACCCGTATAAGATTTTTAAGGTCACGGAATACTTTCATACTACTATATATATAGTAATAGGACACTATGTAAAGCGAAATTTTATCGTCAGTTATCCTTATAAAGATGCATAAATTTACACCTAAATTATATCTAACGAATATGTTTTTGTGGAATTTTGACACTTCATACAAAGTTTTTTTTAATAACACTAGACAAAATTTCGTTTCACATGAGCGATCGCAGGCCTCATATCATGATCCTTACAGCTCTAGATATGACCCGTAGTAACCGTGAAATGTACCTACGTATACTTTACACATAGTATAGAATAATAATGGACAAAAGTGTCGTATTCAGATGTAATGGTCATACAGGGTTCGGTTATTCATGGGTGAGACGACGTTGGCTGTAAAATGTAAAAAAAAAAAAAAAAAAATGGTTAGAATACACTATCTGTCTACACCACAGTTATGTCAGAATATGGAATGTGCCTACTCTAGTATCACTGACATTCTTTACCACGGCCTACATAGTTTCCACCGAGACACTCTCTTAAACTCAACTCAAGAAATCAGAGCTCTCGATCTGGCCCCATTCCCAATGCAATATAGTATCTTTTTCCCAATTTAGACCCCAAGTTTTCTCAATTCTAAGGAAAACGCCGCTATTTTTCTATTTCTAAGGGCCCCGGGCCCCAGTCCCAAAATGGGATGTGAGAGCCCTGAGAAAGGCTGCTGTTTCGATTAAGCTGTTGAATTTGTCACTTCAATCCTGAAAATTTTCACTTTATCCAACCAGTCAAATTCTTTCCTATTACCATCAGTCTTCTTAACATTAAGACGCGCCCAAGTTAAGCTATTCTATTCAAAAACATTAAGTAATGTCATAAACTTTATCTAGTAATTCTAGTGGCCAAACCGTTAAGGAATCTGGAAAAAGATAGATCGATATATATGTTAGAGAAACGGAGAGAAAAAAAGAAGGGTTCATAAACCCGAAAATCCAATCAATAAGGAAAAGTTTAAAGACGTCAAGCACAGGTGAATATTTCTTAACGTTAGCAATGTTCAAATATTGGGTGTAGGATTATGCAAACTGTAGGGACAAAGGGGCCAACAATGCTTAAGCACGGTTATCCGACACTTTAATTTGATGATATACAGCATGTGTTTGATAACGAATGTATTTGCAAAATGCAGCTGTTTCAATGAAACTTGGTGTCGAAGATTTAAGAATCAAAGTTAGGGGAGTTAGGAGGACGAAGAACACATATGGCCCAATTTTCTAGGTTTTTGTTATTGTTTTACATAAGAATCAATGACTTAAACTTATTGTAATTAACAAAACTCCACCAAACATATCAAATCTAAACCCGCTTCATCAGATTGTATACCGAGGCACTATTAGCATATATGAAAAGGATGAATTTTCATAAAAGATATCATAAATATGCTTAAAAACAAATACAATACGACTTTAAATAGATATTTGTCAGGTAGACATTCTGCCTACTGAACACGGCTACAGGTGATCTTGTTCTGAATGCATTTCATCGAACCAGGTGTCGAGGTATGGGGAGACCTACCCCGCTGCTAGGATGTCTAAAGCTAGTAAAACCGGTCGAGCGAATGTCATTCAGATACAGGCGTAGGCGCTCGGATAAATGACCTGTATCTATTGTCGATTTCCAAAGCAAGATCTTAAACCTGTTAGACTTTAGTTAACTCAGTAGTTAAGGTATACTAGTAGCTGACGGAGTGTGTGAGGTTGTACTGTATACAGGAACACAAACTTCTGTAAGTATAAACTTATATTGTCTGAAGGTTAGATGACAGCAGCATGTTGACTCTTTATAGGCAACATCGGACCACTTTTCATTAATAAGCCTTACTTTAAGGTGTTGTTTGTCATTTCGTTCACTTTGAAAGTGAAATGCATAAAAAAGATATTGTTGATTCTGGTTAAAGTAACATTACGAATTCTATCCCATCAAGAGGATTATACATCGACATAGCAAAGTTATTTGTATTCTATTTTTGACTTTCTATGACGGAGACATACATATTTGTTGTAATTCAATATGGTATGATTCAATACATTATCTATTTTGTGCAGTAATCTTTACTTTAGTCAGGTATGTTATTCTAAAGGTGTATGTCAAATCGCCTTAACTTGAACAAATATTGTGAACGCTTTTAAGAGCTATGATAAGGTACTCACACAGCTGTTTAAAATTTTGTACCATAACTCACTTCACAGACGAAACTGCATCGCAAAAAAAGATGATATAGGGGATATATATATAATGGGTAATAGGACTTTTCTGAATTATTCATGTGTCTTGAATATAAAATGGCTGGTATTATGTTAAGATATATGATACTACATTGTGTAATTGGTACGCCGAGCAGTAGTGCAGATCTTAAGAAACCCATAACCTCTTGGATATCTTAAATCATTGTCGTCTGATGTGTGCTGGAGGATTATAAAAGACACAAAAGTGTCATTACATATTTAAGAATTGGGTGCACTAGAGATTAATGATGAAATACATTGCATCATACAGCTCTTTTGTTGTTCTATGATTCGTCAGTGATTTTTTTAAACCAGGAGGCAACATGGAAAATAGATGTCAAAGTAAAGATAAGAAGATGCACTGACGCTGAAAATCAATAACTGTCATATTTTGTCGTATTAGGTTGTATCAAAAGAGTAGACGTGTGAACTGCAAAATGTAAGAATAGAATTTTAAAGCATGTTATAGCCATAACATAACGCCCACATACAGTGTTTAAATTTCACGTTTGCATGCGTTTGTATATGTAGTTGTACGGTGCGGTTATAGAGGACGGAGTAAATACATACATTGCCACTGGATTTAAAATCCTATTCAAATACATCACTTCAACTTAGTTATATTTAACAGACAATTTACCTGAAAGACATCAGTGTGACCATCGCAGTGTGTCTTACTGTTAAGTGAGGTCATTTTGACATGGTAAATAGTATCTTATTGGCATAAAGCGTTCAAGGAAAGTTGTAATATATGGTTCCAGTTGACGTCTCCTTGTCTCCTGTCAATATCACATCTGTTGTTGTAAAATGCAAAGTCTTATGTTGACGTCTCCTGTAATTATCACGTCTTCTGTTGACGTCTCATGTAAATATGTAAACATTACGGCTTACACGTGTATGTTGACGTCTCTTGTAAATATGCTAATATTACGGCTTACACGTGTATGTTGACGTCTCCTGTAAATATGCTAATATTACGGCTTACACGTGTATGTTGACGACTACTGTAAATATCACGGCATATGTTGACGTCTCATGTAAATATGTAAATATCACAGCTTTATTGACGACTTCAGTATACATGTAAATATCGAACTTACGTTGATGTCTCATATCGATATTTCTTTTGTGTTTGCTTGTTCCACGGATCTGCTAACTGCCTAGTCAACATTTATGTGTTAATACTTTTCATTATTCACAATTATTTTGACATAAAACTGAATATCACAATTGAGGTGCGTAGGCAGCTACCAATCCTGTGGTATGCACATCCGCAAATAGGTGGTCTTCACGAAACATTTACTATACAAACCATGTACAATTTATCACAATTACGTAACGTCTGTAGTGTGTACTATAGTTATAATGGAATACATGAATATTTATCTAGATTTTAGATAAACAGATTTAACTTCATTCAATTTGTTATGCATATTTATGATAATTTATTGACAAAAATATTTCTGAAAAATTAAATCATGAAAAACGATAAATTTTAAATACGACCGGTGAATGTCAGATCAGTTATCACACACTACAAATATTTTGAGGCGATGTACTTGATTAGAGTGTGTTGGCTTTGATGTCTTTATTTTTCCTGGCCTATCAATTATTATCCCGAGGAAGTTATCGTCAGTTGTTTGCCGTGAAAGACCATGTATTAAAATGAGATATTGTAATAAAGCGCATAGCATTGATTCATAGACGTAACACGCGCCCGTCTCGAAGAATTCTTTAGAACGCTCACCAAACAGAGAAACCTCGAAAATTCAACAGAAGATGTTCTGTATAGCTCGATAGAAATATTTTTCAAATGAGCAGGCGGAGGTTTAATCTGTTTTACTTGATGTGTTTATATCCTCAATAAAAAGGCTATGTTATGACGACAAATATAACTCTGAAACAGCTTCTATTTGTATGAGCTGAAGTAAAACCTTGTGGATTGTTCGGCCAGAAATATTCGGCCGAATAGTCACCGGAACTATATATAATCTATGAATTGGTTTTGTGTGTGAAAGTCCTATTTGTATATGTACCACAACGTGTTGTCGACACCAATGTTTGATCATGCTGCATTTTCATCGCAATTATATTTTGTGAATCTACTGTGAGAGGTATACTTCTAGTGCGATTCAAGCTGCAGCGAAAATTAAATACATAGCATAGTGTTTGTGTTGGTCTCAGAAAACTACACTTTCTAATATTTAAAAAAAAAAAATTTTGCAGAAGAAAATGGCCGAAGAAGACGTCCAGAAGTGTATGGAATGGTTGTTCAAGACCCAGGTAAGTTAATGCATAGTTGATTTAAATACTAATATTAATAAAACTTACATTGAAAATGAGTTGCTCATACAAGTATATGTATTTTATAATCAAGTATTACTCATTTTACGTTCTCTCCTCCATTATTTGTCACAATAGCAAAGCTTACTAAACTTATTCACGCCTGTTACATTTTACGACAAAAAAGTTATACTATTAGAGTATCCATATCAATGCATTTACAACATACTATTGTGTTTTTAAATATTATATAAATAGTATGATGCGTACTCAGCGTGAATTTATCATTTATTTGTTTGGTTTATTTGGTTGGTAATATCTTTTAAAACCAGAATACTGTAGCTTACATGAACAACATTCTGTAAGTCAAAGATAAATGAAAGTATCTATAAATTATAAATGACTCTCATTAAGTAAATGGTTAGATTATGTAAATGTGGAATGTTGAATTCGACGATGTGATGGATCACTGCTTAATATAGGCTGGTAGTGGGTAATGAAATTTTCTGTAATATCTATACTCATTGTGTTTTAATCTCATGGATACACCGACTGCGTACATTCTATGTTTGTGATAATATCACACTTGTGTATCTCATCTGTAAAAAATTGCAATTCAGCAGCTAAACATTGTTGCTATCACCGGTATATCTGTTTGGTCTTTAGCAAGTTCACAAGGGTACAGTATCCAGAAACCATGTGTGTATAATTATCTCAAATATACTTCTATGAAAAGAACCAGAACACTTTGATCAAGAAGGAAGTTTATAATGATAAAGTATATGAAGTCAGTCGAGCATTTTTTTTTATTGAAAGCCGAAGTCAATAATCGATATCATACATCAGTATGTTTTAGAGTGGTTTATTTATTTTCTACTTCAAATGAAGTCGTGATATTCAAAACCCCATGCTTCAATCGTCTCTTATATCTAGAGATAACATCCTCACTTTCTGTTGATGTGTGTCAAACCTTCAAGTGGTTATGACTTTGAGTTGAAATGGTGTCTTCTAAAATCTCCTGACTGTATAAATTGTTTAATTGTCTTTATGTGAGCTGATTAATGTCGCAGGGAGTTATATACAGCATTGTAGTATATCATTAATGTACACAAAGAACCTCCTACGATATTGTTTGAATACTATAACATTTTTCAAAGTTTGTTTGTACGTGAAATTATCTGCCCATCCATCCTACCGTATTTTAGTGTTAGTCTAGTGTTTGTGTTACCTTACCTTCTAAGTCATTCACAATAGTATCAGGTCGTTATGTGTTGTTTGAATTTTGTTAGCGTTGGTTATTCACATGTCTTTCATGACCTTGATACATATCGATACATGCATTTCGTGAATAGTCCAAATGACGGGATAATCAGTTATATCATTTGTATGTTTCGTTTAGAATGATATGCAGACAAGTCCATTTGGGTCCGGTCAAGCCGACGTGGCATCTGCCATGGCAATGCAGAGAAATAAGAACACGGAAGTACATAACTACGGGATGGGTCTGAACAAACTGTTCAGTAAACATGTAAGTGTAGACACTGTAAACACATAGACACCAGCTCCATTCCATACAATTAAACATGATTTACTATGTTTTATTAAGAACTCATCTAATTTTTTAACCTCAATAAATACAAATTGATAGTCTTGTGTCCGTTCAAATGGAACGGATGATCAAAGACACTCTAGCAGGAAAAAACATTGTTCCAACTGTAGCTATTTATAGAGGTTGTAAATGTTGTAAACATTCGTGAAATAAGAAGTTTGTATAGTGTAAATCGTGGTCACTTTGACATAAATTTCAATGTTTTTGAAGAACAAATGTGATTCTTTACAGTGTGCATCTACTGATAAAATGTTCCTGAAATTGGTCACGGAAACCTTGACATGCTAGTCTATTAATCACGTGTAACGTTTATATTTTGGCCTGGATCTTCATAACGTGACATGAAAACTTTTTTTTCTTCCCTTGATTTAGCAACTAGGCCAAAAAGAAACCATGGACATATCTACTGCTTACGAATCTGTGAAGGTAAGTGTGTAACACCATGACACATTATAATAAATACCAGTGTGTCAGGTGTACTGGAGTTATGTCCCTGTATATAGACTTGTGTAAGGTAAATTAAGAATGTCAAATTTTGGATAGTTATTTGGTGAGGTTTAGTTTATATTAGTTTATACATATTTGGTAGATAAAGTGTTACTTCTTTCATTTTGTTATAGTAGATCTCTAGCCTGCCCATCGCTTGGATATCTTAATACATATTCGTTTGAGAAAAATATCCCAAAAGTTCGCTGTGGTTATATATGACAACTTATTTATGTAATCATAGTTTGCAATCTGGAGAATATATTTTGCTTTTCAAATTACTTCTTACTTTCTTCTCTTTTAAGGCTGTATCGAATAAGAGGTTGTCGTGTATGGAGGTGCTTAGCGGAATTTCTTCCCTGGAGGACCCAATACAGGTAAATCTTCATGTAATTTCTGGAAGTGAAAGTTGATAACTGCATATATAAACAGTATCATTGTCTACAATATATGTCAATGATACAAACAGCTATTAACAGAAACAATGTTAAAATACTTATCTTAAGGATATTACCGCAAGGTTGTATCGAACATAACAATATCAAAAATTAATTCTTGTTTTTTTTTTTTTAATTTTCATTTGTAAAACATTCTTTGAAAATACAGAGAAGCTCTAATATTTTGTATTTTTCAGTTTTTTGTATTTATGTGCACTTTTAAACAATTTGGTATTTACGGGTCTTTATTTAGAGTCTGTCCAATGAGTTTTACAAAAGAGCTGTCCACTTGGTGAATATGATGGAGAACAACAAGCAAATGGACAAAAACAACCAGAGCAACGAAAATCTCGCGAAGACTGCCCAGGTAAGATGTCTATTGCTTATCTGTTAAAGTAAAATAACCGAACATTTATGCTTCAAATAATTGTATTAAAATCAATACATCGGAAGTGAATTTAATGATGTATTACAAATAATGTTTATATTGATATTTGAAGTTAAAAGCCATATGTTAATCATAAGGTATATTGATTACCATTGTTTGGTTTAACTCTCTATTTCTATTGTAATATTTTTGTAATTTTTTATTAATCTATTCTAATTCTCAGCCATTTAATTTTTTCTCCTTTGACTATATTCCCTGTCAGTTTGGATACTGTTATATTTGCTTTATTTACGTGCCATTTATTTGTTCCTACGGTTAAATCTTTTACCTTGACATTTTTTCCAATGTAGCAGCAGAAAAGTAAAATAATTCCATATATGTATGTTACGGCTGAAAAACAAAAAAAACATCTGTCCTGTCTCAACAACTTACAGCTGTGAAATGATATAGAATATTTCTATGTTGTTAAATTCATATTTGAAAATATTCACAAACCATGGATTGTTTGACATTCTCTCTAGTAGTTAACGTAATCAGCGGTTTCGTTTAAATATGAGTTTATACATCATATTCAGTAAACTGTCTTTTTTTAAGGAGTAGGTGATATTCATTGTATATCGAACCTACATGCAACATAAGAAAATCTTACAGTTTTAATGATGATTTTTCTTAAACAAACCGACACAATGGGATGTTTTATACAATGTATGTTGTGTGTAACGCAAAAAAAATGTTCTGACAGAGGGAATATTTACCTAGACTGCAATGTAAACTGACGAGATTATATAACACACCGATAACATTGTCATTTTCTGAAATGCGTGATTTTTCAAAAGGACCTGATAAGGAAAGATAATTACAAAAACCGATCATCACTATTTTAAGAAGTTTTAAAAGTTGTTTGTATGAATCTTATAACTTATTCGGCACGAACGAATCTACCGATTACGTTTTTTATTTTTGTACTTTAACATACAAATTATGCCATTATTTGTTACGTTGCTTTTTATTTGCCATTAGTGCTATGAAGCAAATAATAATATTTCTTCAATGAAGTTTTATTGAACATTTTTTGATGGATCATATATAGGCTACACATCAAAATAATATTTTATAGTTTCGACAAATGGGGAGACCCAGTATGTTGTGTATAATCCCATCACAGAGAAAGATTTTTATTTAATTGTAATGCCAAAGAATTGGTGAAGATTAAACATTCTGCATTAGGGACTCGTTGATGATGATCATCTATTTATCCAGGGATGTGTGATGGCTGTCCGTAAAAACTGGCGCTGGATCAACACAGTACTACAATGCTCACAAGTCCACCTCCATAACGCAGCGTCGTATCAAGAGGTAGGATTTTCTATCGTGTCGTCTCACTGGACACATGTCAGGTCAAATTATCATTCTTGTCAACACTTGGCTATAAGAGGCAACCTCGCTTTATTAGGAATTGTACTTTGTATAATTTTATTTCTAAATATAGAATGCCATTACTTATCTGTTTTAATTGGAAATCAACCTAAATTTATCTAAGTGACTCTACATCGTCATAGCAATACGGTGAATTCGATTCTGTATGATATGCTTAGAAGACATTCTACCTGCTTTGTCAGTGGAAATGTAAAATATCATGTTCTATATTTTTTTGTCTCATCTCCATGTAGTTTTTCCACGAGGTTGAGGAAGTAGAATACTGGATGAACACGACGTTGTCAAGGATACACCTGACGTTTGACCGCTCAAAACTCAATGGTGACAAGGGAGACGTCAACTTTATCCAGTCGGAAATGAAGGTAAGGAAGACAAGGGTAACAGAATGCCTGTTTTCCGTCAATGTTCATGCCTGATTGCCCATGTAAAACCCTTTCGTTGCAAAAACTGAACGTTTGTTGGGGACGCCCAGTGCAGACTTCGCATAGTTAGCTGGAATGTGATGTCATTGACCAAATACATACTGGATATTGTTCAAAATAGATTCCATACTTCACGGGTACGTCTCCAACAAGGGACGCAACTCATGTTCTACATATGTCCTTCAGAACGTTGATGACCTGGACGGTATCGGTCGGCTTGTAAATGAAACGTGACATTGCTTAGGTAAACCAATATATGAAATATATATTGTATGATAACTCGAATGTTAGGAGAACTGATGACTTGAATTCTTTGGAAATAACTTCGTTCTATGTTAAAACAACACATTAACCAATGATTTCTTTTTGTCAGATATGCTTTTAATGCATTCAAGCTCTATAATCTACAGTCGAATATCTGTTTATCATTGTATATACAGTAACTTACCAAATGATTATAATAACGTAACGATCTTAACTTTGTGACATTTTGAAAAATAATATTATCCAGATTACAATATGACAAAGAGGCTAACATTAACACCCCTACACATGTGACATGAGCACATGCACGTTTGTCGAATAATTACTTACATACGTGTGACATTTTTGCATAAGCATACGTGTTGGATCAACACTCACACATATATTGCATCGGCACATACACACAACACATAAACTTGTTTTTCCATCATAACACACACTCGTTTGGTATGTAATTTCAACCCGTTTTTCATCAATAGTAAGACACGTGTCATCACTATGACGACAAGTCGATTTTTATACACGTCTCATCATTTCTTCGCTTATGACACTAACAACTTTTAAACAACCAGTTGCAGCTACTACTACTTTGAGTTTTTCTAGTAATTCTAACACAAGATCTGTTTATTTGCTTTAGCAAATTAACACAGTTTTATTTTGAAACATAAAGTCAAAAGTTCAAGCGTAAAATCGACACCGTTTTGTGTATACCATATCTGTACCACAGCAGGATACATTGGTTAATTAGACCCAGGAGAACGGCTGGACGCTTGGATCCGTTCGACCCCGCGACAGCTTGCACCACTCGAGATTGAAGTGTTTCTGTGTTAGACGGAGGACGGGTTCCCTAATTAGTCCAACAATACTTTATATTGGGGTGACCCCATTCTTTAGGAATAAGTCTCCTCAGCTTGGCGATCAATTCAAACGAATTATGTGATCATTTAGTAGCATTCATAGTGATACTATACCTTTGATTCATTCGCTTGGCAGTGATTAATATATGTTAGTATTTGTAGCTTGTCGTAGACCTGTTGGATCTTCACGTGACCTCAGACAGAGATAGAAAATGCTCCTACTACACAATGAACTGACACTAAACTGGAGACACTTGACATATACCTAACCACTTTGTAAATAGGCCTACTATAGTCGATTACGTTAAATACGTCTTATTCCTATTGTCTTATTTACAAAAACTATTTTCAACTCTACAGATATGATGACGAAGTAATCACTGAATTAGATATCATGTCACGTTTAATTTACATTTCTGACCAGATAATTGTTACAAAATGACCGCACATGTTTAATAGTCGTGTGCAGGTATCACAAGATTTATATTTATATAGATATTCGATATTTTAATCATTATCTTACATACAACAACTTGGAATAGGATTTTTGATAGAAAAATAGCCAAGCTTGATAAGTTGCCGGGCTCACTCCAATGATGATTGTCAAGATATTGTTAGACACATGTAAAGTTTAAAATCAGAACGTCAAAAGCCATGTCAATATTTTCTTAATGAAAGGTTGTTCCATTTCTAATTATCTGACCAGATAATTGTTACAAAATGACCGCACATGTTTAATAGTCGTGTGCAGGTATCACAAGATTTATATTTATATAGATATTCGATATTTTTTAACTTTGTATTTGCGTTATGTTCTATGTATTTGTGATGATTTTTTTAATTTATGCTTTAATATTTGTGTGTTGATAAAGGGACAGGTTGCCTCGAAAATTTAACATTTCGGTTGTCCGTACTCTTACTATTACTTCTTACATCATATATGTACACACTGATGATATATGTTTACACTTTAGGTTGAAAATATCTTATACGTACTTTGTAGTTTAATAAAAAAAATTCTTATATGTTCTGTGTTGCAGGATGTCCTGCTGGCTTATCTACAGTGGCAGGGCAAGGTGGAGAGCCTCTTTGACCGTGCCAAGTGCATTGTGCCAGTCCCCCAACGGCTCCGAAAGTGTGAGGATCATCGCCCCGTCATCGCCATTGCTGGTTACAAAACATCAGAGGTATAAGACTTTTTCTGATATCTTGAATTACAATCAATTTTATATATGTTTTGTGGATTAAATTATGCTGCCATTTATAATCAAATTCCAGTGAAATCTGAAAGAGTGTATGCCACGTACACTTACTGTAATAGTTTTGATCGCTACCTCACCAGTAGCTCAAACAAATAAAGGTCTATTTTTCCGTAAGTGATGTGTCTTTTGTTTTTGTTTTTGTTTTTTTTTTTTTTTGTTCTTTTTTCTGTAAGTGGTGCGTCCTTTGTTTCAGATTGAGTTCCAGGAAGGAGAAAGTCTGACGTTATTAGATAACAGTGACAGAAACAAATGGCTGGTAAGAGAATAACATCTGGGAGTCTTGGTTATATTGTTTCTGTACCATGTTACAAATAAGGGACTCTCCATCTGTGTACTGTGTTGTGATTCCTTACTGAGAAATTATCTTGACACAACCAGAGTTTTATTAAACTTACTGTTACATTGTGTGATATGATATGAACACTCCATAGAATCAAAAGTAAGTTAGTTTACCAGCATAAGTTAATGTTCGTACCTCACTCTACCTTTTATAATCCATGTCTGGTAACAGGTGAAGAATTCGAAGGATCAGGAATGTATGGTGCCCTCCATGTTACTGTGCATCCCTGGACCTTGCGGTCCTGCAATGGACACCGTTATGAGGTTAGTCTCTTCGGGAACTTTATGATGAGTATGCATTTCGAGTATATATTCAATTTCGTCTTTCTGAATACTACACAAAATTGACAAAAGAAAAGAAAGTTTTGTCTATATCATGAACACAGAAGATTGTAAAACACACACAAATGAATAGCACCTTTCAATAAACCAAGTGATTAAAAAACAATAAAAACATTTCTGCATCATACAGTCGTAACGTCTTTCGAGGACACTTCAGTAATACTAGGGTCATAAAGAATTGAGAATCTAATTGGTAAAGATAGTATCATTTTGAGATAATGTTTATGTTTTGTGACCAGGTTGAGAACACAACTGCTAGCGCTGTGGACAATGAGCATCAAACGCCTTGGTTACCAGATGGTTGCCTTTATGTTAATGGTATTCCGGGATTGGTCAGAAGCAGAGGTCAGTTGTTTGAGGTCATAGGTCAAGTACTTAACGTCGATATGTCTTTTAAAATTACTATTTTCACGTGGGCATAACTTATTACTGTTGTTATAAATTCTTGATGTTGGTGACATGTGCCAACATATGGTGTACATTTGATCTGAACACTGCGTCAATAAACCAACAATGTATATTATTTACAGGATGGATGTACATTGTAGATTCACATCAAGGAAATAAAGATCATTTGTGATCTAAATAGGAAAATGAAGTAACAACAGCACAATTGATGTGTTTTATTCTGTAGATCACAAGTCTGCAGGCAATGAGTCCCAAGGACCGTAACGACCTGATCCGTGTGATGAACAACATAGAGAATACCCTTTACGACACATGGAAAGGATACGGAGACTTCAAGGAACTACAAGAACGTATCGCAAGACTGCGCATGATCCTGGAGGAGGGGGACAAGAATGGTAAGACTAGTGATATAGCTGTAGGAGGACAGATCGATGTTTAAACATTTCCGTTATCATACTTAACTACAATAAAGGAGAGGCAAAACTTTCATTTCTGCGATTAAAGAAACGACCAGTAAAGTATTTAAGTTGGGTTAAAGATGTCCTTTACTAAGTCGTATATCAGACTAAAGTGTGTGAATTTTCCAAAAGACGTGTCATGATTTCATATTTTTTTCTGAATTATTCACGTTTTCAAATAAACACAAGTAGATGAGCATTACATAAAGTGTACGTTATCTTGTCAGGTACGGGCACTCCTCTGACTGCTGTGGTTCAAATCAAATCACTAGAAACTCTGCTCAACAAGTATAAGGTGGGTATACTATTAAAGTATTGCGGGTAGAATTTCACATAAAATCAGTAGGTAGAATTCTCCAAATATTGATGAGGTTTGTGCGACTGTTTCAAATCACAGTCGGTAGAACTTGTTTGAAAAGAAAAATTAAAAAGTACGTGCGACTGTTTAAAATCACAGTCGGTAGAATTTCTCTAACTATTCATCAGATATGTAGTATGTATACACTCATTAGAGAAGTATGGAGGTTCTAGAGATATTTTTAGTAGAGTTTCCCTTTCAATGTTGGTGAAATATATATATCTTTTCATATTTGCTACATTAACATAGTGTCTAAAAAGTAGTCACTAGTAGAACGAAAATAATCCGTATAGTTGGAAGTAAAAAAGGTTACATCTGGTATAGATTATCTAAAAGGTGGCCATGAAGACGTTTTGGACTGTTAATTGTATGATATTGTAAGGTTAATATGATAATACCATGCTCTTTGTTTCGTTATTAGGATTTCTGGGCCTATTGGGAGACATTTAAAGTGATAGTGGAGTTGGTTCAAGAGCCAAAACACTTGTTGGTCTGTGACAAGTGGGACCAGCTCCGATTCGTGTCCACTGCACACTTTGTCAAGTAAGACTGCTTTTGTTCAACACAGAATTTTGTCAATATTGTGAATGCTTTTTATAGAAACTGTTCACCAATTTCAGGGATTTTAAATATTGTGAACAGAAATTGTATACCGGAAGCTGATATATGGTAAAAATGAAATTTGAATTTAGAAAATGCACTGATAAATAACAAATACATAGTAACAGTCACATCTCGTATCACAAGTGTAATTTTTGTAATAATGCATATTTTTTAACATTCATTCACAGGTTTTGGGACACAACTGTAGATCTAAATCTTTCTGACCTTTCGAGAATGGACACAGCTGTTACCTTCCACGAGACGCCGAAGGAGCCTTTCCCTCCTCGTCCGAAGAAACCTGCGAAGGAGGAGATGATTTTGGAGGAAGTTCAAGAACAGTTTACACAGAACGTCCTGACGATGGAAGAGGCGGGACCGCCAGCTTACCAGGAAGAGGAAGACGAAATGTACGAAGAATTTTACGAGGAGACTGTCACGGAGAGCGTAATGTCGACAGTGGCAGAAGAGAGGCAGACGTTTATGATTACTTCTGTCAAGGACCCACGAACCACAGACGAATACATCAGCCCTCAGGAGGCAATCATGCTGGGCATCATCGATCAGGCGAGCAACCATTACGTTAACATTGTCACCAAGGAAACCATGACAATGGGTGCTGCCATCAATAGGGGTATTGTACAAATATCATTCCAGTCCAGCGAGACAATTCGTGAGGAGGACACGTCGTATGGAGTAGTTACCATAAAGACGATGAAGGACACGCGCCCTTACAAGATAAATAAGGTGATAGACCCAAGAACAGAGGAGGAGTTGACAATAGCCCAGGCAAAGGACAAGGGCATTATAGATGAGGTCAAGATGACGTATACCACAGAGGACGGAGACGAAATCTCCATCAGGGATGCTATACACAGCGGACTTGTGATTGCTGACTTCGAAGAAGGGCAGAACGGAGAAACAGAAGAGGAAACACAGGTCAAGACGTATGCGATACACGGGGTAGTGGACCAGAAACAAAAGTGTAAAGTGTCGTTTACGACCGCCGTTAATGACGGGTTACTGGACAGACAGGATGGCCAGTACGTAAACAACGTCACAGGAGACAAAGTTCCTGTTCAAGAGGCCATAATGAGAGGCTTCATCAAAGCGAGGCTCGTGAAAGACACTTCAAAACTCGACATCGACCCTACAAATAATATCGTCATAGACAGACTCGATAAAGCCAGATCAAAAATCCTTTCAGCTGTGAGAACTGCAAATGCATTCAAAGAATTAACTACGGGTAAAAAGTAAATACCATTTATTTTATATTGACATGCGCCCATGTATGATTGCACTAGTGACGCTTTACCAACAATTATATAGAATAATAACAACTTGTATCAACTGGTGAACAAGAATACGCTTTGGTGTATGGATCTAACTTGATTCTACAGGTTAACAAAACATGTCATCACTTGAGGAAGTATAATATTGACATCTGTCACATTTATGCTCAGCGGATTGAATCGGATTCCTTAGGATGCGAGCAATATTTTGAACTTAAACATCATTATCATTTTTCATTTAATCGTAAATATCAGATGTCACTCAAAAATTACACGCACGTTTATGGTTCTATTTTACTGAGAAAGGACATTATAGAACTAACAAATGTTAATTATGACACTTGTACAAGCATATTCTGTACTTGAATGCGTATTTAGCTATATTACATTTTAAGCATATATCTTCCATTGTTTTATGCGATTATTTTTAAATGTATTACTTAACAATGTTTGATCAGTTTGTAGGGTTTTAATTTCAATAATTGTTGATTTAAAGAAATAAATTAACCCGCTACAATTTCTGTTGGGGTTTATTATACTGCGATCAATCGTTAGAATACATAATATAACATGTAACGGATTTCTTTTCCCGTCATTGACTTATTTTCACCCTAAAATTCACACATAAGGTGACTGAGTTATACAGTATCTTCTAACAACATGTACCGACAGCTCATCCAGGAAGTTTCCGTGCTCTAAATCATACATAATTAACATATCTCAAGCACATGTTTTCAAAACGTGAAACTTCTCTATTCATAAGTTTTATTACTAGGCAGCTCAGTTACAGAATCTTATTTCAAGAGCAAATCTGATGAAATGGCGGGAAAATAAAGGCGAAAGAAAGATTTAAATGGAATTTTCTATTAGTACAAGGAGAATAAGACCAGGTGTTCCGAAGAGTTAGGGTCGACCGCTTCTTGACAAGTCGAAGAATCGCACAGAAAAATCGAAATTTGTAGGCAGAAAAAAGAAATTCTAAATAAGAACAAAACTTGGGGAACTACTGGTGCATTATGTCCTTCAAAGTCTAAGACCCGAGAACCTAATGCTCACATATTGAGTATGTGAAGTTAAGATATACCAATGTATCTTATCCCATGTTCTTGCTTACCAGAATAGAAGAATTTAATATACGCGGAAACATGAAAAAGTAACGAAAACCATGAAGTACCCTTATCTTGAAACTAAAAAAAACAATAAAATTTCATTTCCTGACTGGTTAATTTCACAATTTTTGCAGTTGATATAGGGTTTGTAATATACACGACGTTAGATACACGCCAACTCTGAAAATCTACATAGATATCCCTGATTTAAGTTTCTCTGAAAACAAGAACAACAAATTTGTGAGTTTCCTGTTTACGACCGTGATATACCCGGGAGAAGTATATATATAAACAAATAAACACTAAAAATAGCATCTGGCAGGGAGAATTCTCGAATTAATATTGAATAATTTTCTTCTGAATATGTGTCTGTACTAATTAACATGTCAGTTTCTACCGTAAAGATGATTTAACACCAGTTCGTGCAATTGTAAATTCCAAACATGTCGGACTGTGTAAATATACATGTAATGTGTTAGTTACTGTATTCGACATCATCTATATAGTATTGTGTGTTGACGTTGCCGAATACAGAGACACAAATACCTTAACGTTATCCTTAGATAATCCCGATGTTTACAAGATTATCTCTCGGTCCAATTCTACAGTAAACCCGTATTTATTGTCGCTCTCAAACTAGAACCGGATGTTGTCCTTGTCTCAACATATGATGCGACATTTCCGGCTCTCCGCGTTCGTTTCGTACTTTAGACTTAGCCCCGTATTACGACTTGCCAACTCAAACTTCAAGCAACTATCCTTAGAGTCAGTGTTTAAACGGTAGATGTGACATGTACCCCTCCCACTGAAACAGAAACAGAACCAAATGATCATGTGGCGAGATTTTATTCTAATTTTTGTGTTTTTACTTGGAATAACATTGACATCACGTGCGGGTAAGTACATTAGTTATGATTAGTGGGACACTAATTTTTGCGTAGTATACAAGGGCGGCGTTCTGTAATTTTAAGCACAATACACGAAGTGCGTACGTGATTGATTTGGACATTGCTATTGCGAGAAAACCGATAGAAATCATATCGTGATAACATGTGCGAATGATGTTAAGGTTCAATCTGTAAACAAAATACAGGTATATGGAAAGTGAAAATGGCGGGAAAATCTTTATACGGTAAATAGCTGTAGATGTAACAATATATACCAATCAATTTAAGATAAAAATAAATAAAAATAATGAATCTCTGTCTCAAATGATAAATAAAATAAAATAATAAATAAGTAAATTATGATCTACCGAGTTCCTGGTCCTTAAGACGCAGCCTTGGTGTCATTGTTGGAATTAAGTATATGCACTTAATGACTGCATGTGATGTCAAGTGTACCTCCTCCCCGTAGTTCAGAGGTCTGAAATCACACCAACACTGAGTTTTAACACCCCACTAAGTGTAAAGAGAGACATTGCGTTAAATGTGATATTATGAATAACCGCAACGTGGAGTGATTTAGTGACAGATTTAACACTTGTTACAATTCTGATAAAAAAGTAGAAAAAAAAGAATTAATAGATGTAATAGATAAATAAATAAATAAATAATATTGCGTGTTTGTGCACACAACATTTAATGTCTTATTTTTTTTAAATTCCTTCAAAAATGAAAATATTTCCATCAGTAGTAATATTATTCCATGCACTTAATCGATAATGATATAAACCTTTAGGATTATTAGTCTATATATTGTTGTTTAAGGTTTCATGTCACAACTGATTGAAAAATTAATGGTATCTAAAAATATGCATAAAGTTTTGTACTTCCATTAATTATAAAATCTAAAAGTTTGGACAACAATTTTCTTGCCTTTGTTTCTTTCTCCCGCCCCCTCTTGCTGTAAGAAGGGAAGTGATTGCAATATTTGTTGTAAGATCTTTAATAAATAAATAGATTAATTGATTAATTGATTGCCAATGACAACAGATTAGTGAGCTGATCCGTAATCACTTGTGACGTGTGCCGATCCTTGTGTTGTTATCACATTTACTTTCGGGATAAGAACTCTGTAATCATGTATAAGAGGAAAATCAAAGCCAATGTCTTTGTCTGTAGATTGTAGCACGTGTTGTACATGTACTCAATGCCCTATGACATTTATTTATTTTATTTTGTTTCTGATGTAATCATTTTATATTTCAATTCACTTCTTTATGTATAAGATTCACGCATCTAACCATTTCAAGCTATATATCAAAACATATTTCCGAATGCCAAATTATTTGAAGTTTATACAGGAATGAAAATCCCAGTAAATAGGATGCTGTCAATAATGTGGCCTGGTTTATTATGAAATGTGTGGTTTGAGCCCCACTACCCCACCCCCACCCCCACCCCAGCCCCCACCCCCATCCCCTCATATCTCTCAACTCCCGTATTCCTTTTAATGTCTTTAAGTCGTTCTTGTTTATGTCTTTGGCACGAAATGTTTTCCGAATTGCTATAGATGGTATATGCGACGGGTCTCGCGTATGTTGTTCTATGAGATAGTCACCAGCCACTTCGAGGAGATCCAGCCTCGAAATGACCTTATGTATAGACGGGTCGATAGACACAGCGAACAAATTATACTATTTTATCGCGGTATTTTTTCTGTGTTCATTCTTAAGTATACTACGCAATCGAAAGTAAATCTATTTCTGTGCTCATACTTTCTCTTTTACTACCACACATTAATTTAGACATACAGAGAGCTGTGAACAGTACATCACATAAATAAGACCTACAGAGAAACGTACCTACGATATGTATATTTGGAATACGTTTCAACGTGGTTTTCCAGTGTCGTTTGAAACACTTGAAGAACCGTAAGATAACTTCCTGTTCTAAATCTGAAGTTAATTGCATCCTGTACATCTTTTCTTTTCTTACACGTGTCTGGAGTGCTCTATATAGGTCCAAGTACATACCACATAATTGTCTAGTTTTATGTTCTTTATAGAATAAGCTATGGTAATGTGACGCACTCGATTGTGTCTGAAAACGATCCAGAGCCTTTTTTCGAATTCAAAAACATAATAGTATTATTTATTGATCAGGCAGCAGGTCTCGAGTGACCTTTTACGATAACCCTTTGCGCGTCGTCGTCTGTAATCATATCTTAAACAATTACCAGTTATTACTTCTTCTCATGAACATATGGAAAGATTCTGACAACTTTTTACACAAAGATTTCATGTACAAAGGTGAACTGGTTTTTAATTATAGTGCCCTAGCTCCAAGAGACCCGAAAGGCTAAGCCAATGAGAGCCACAATGGTTTCTTTACAGTCATATATAGTAAAATCAGATATTTTTATGAATGGACGAGAATTAAGGTTCTTTACCGAAGGTATGGATTTCATAGCTTCAGGAACAAATATGTCATTCGGAAAAAGGTGAAATTTTGCGACATTTTATGTTGGAAAACCATATTTTTGTTCGTTTTATTATACTCTCTATCAGAAATATCTCAAATTGGGTTGGTAAGAATTTTAGTGACTACACTTTGATGATATATATATTTTGACACGAGTATGACCTGACATGGGTCAAATGAGGCCATATTGGCTTAAATTTGCTTGGAATTTCAAAAAAAAAAAAAAAAAAATAAATAATAAAAAAAAAAGATGGGAAGAAATAGTCACAAATAGATGGATTGGCCCTAGGTGCATTATCAGCAATGTTAATTCCATAATCCCAGCTTCTCAGATTTACCCGTAGGAAAGCTGTCCATTTACTTCGGTTTATGACAAAATGATGAATTTAACGTAAAATATGTTTGGAAGTTGTGGGATAACAATAAACTGGCCAAATAAAGGGTTTGACATTTGTGAGATTACAATAAACTGACCCAATAAAGGGTTTGACATTTGTGAGATTACAATAAACTGACCCAATAAAGGGTTTGACATTTGTGAGATTACAATAAACTGGCTCAATAAAAGGTTTGACATTTGTGAGATTACCATAAACTGACCCAATAAAGGGTTTGACATTTGTGAGATTACCATAAACTGACCCAATAAAGGGTTTGACATTTGTGAGATTACCATAAACTGACCCAATAAAGGGTTTGACATTTGTGAGATTACCATAAACTGACCCAATAAAGGGTTTGACATTTGTGAGATTACAATAAACTGACCCAATAAAGGGTTTGACATTTGTGAGATTACCATAAACTGACCCAATAAAGGGTTTGACATTTGTGAGATTACAATAAACTGACCCAATAAAGGGTTTGACATTTGTGAGATTACAATAAACTGACCCAATAAAGGGTTTGACATTTGTGAGATTACCATAAACTGACCCAATAAAGGGTTTGACATTTGTGAGATTACCATAAACTGACCCAATAAAGGGTTTGACATTTGTGAGATTACAATAAACTGACCCAATAAAGGGTTTGACATTTGTGAGATTACAATAAACTGACCCAATAAAGGGTTTGACATTTGTGAGATTACAATAAACTGACAAAATAAACGGTTTGTTATGTGACATTTGCGATTATGTGGTGAAAACGTTTTGCAAAATGTAATAATCACATGATATTGTGTGATTTTCAAAAAAATGTTTTAAGAAACATTGTTGGGAAACATACTGAGAATATTATAGTCATTGAAGACAAAGTCAAATGGTACGCAGTTTCCGACAGTGAATACTTTAGTGCTATCTTTGATTCCAGTATACATATATAAGTACATGTACTTGTAATATGAAGGCAATTTTAGGATCCTTGTAAATGCGTACATATTCTTTTACGATATTACTAGACGTATTTTAACGTTCACTTTATCAAGTTGTCATCAGGCACCCAGTCTATATATATACTGTATACATGATAATATTCGCGGGATCTTAGTTTCAATATATTCACAGCCAATAACGCAATTATATGTATCAAATGAACCCAGTGAGCATTACTACAGCGAATGAATTAACTGTTATGCCTGTACACACCGACACCTGCTTATAGATATGCATGCAATATATTATCCGTTAACTTCTAGGGGCAACCGCGAAATATTAGCCTCGCGAAACAGAGCCGCTATATAGTAGACAAGATAATGCTAAATCTATGCAGCACTTATCACTTTTACTTATATCACTTATGGTTATCAGATTTACTCACCGAAGACATGATACTGCCTGCAGGCTAATCGATTTGAGAAATACAGTTTTTTTTATAACTTTATACTCTATTCCAGACCTAGATAGATGCATTGACATATCACCATGTAGGTCAGTTTTTAATTGATCATCAGCACTTACCTGCCTCGTGTCGGAAATTTAGAAAGAATATTTATTAAGATTCTTTTGGAAACTCAAACTTATAAGATAGTTACAAAGTTTTAAAAATGTTTTGATAATGTCATGTTTTACACGAGAAAAGGTTTGATATTTGTGAGAACATAATTATCTGTATCTGTATCACGGCTTTAGCATTTGATAAGTTTAAACTTGGAGATCTAACAGATTATGCAAAGAATTGCGTACACAGTTTCTATATAATCTTATTATATGTTATAGAGAAAGTACCCCTTTAATATCGAAGACGGAGAAACGATTTTCTGTCTTAATGGATTTCTTTTAAATTAGAAATGATCTTTCTATTTTGACAGTTCGTCATGGTCCAAATCTTATATGGGCGATGCACCCTGCAAGTGGAAATGGGGTTTCTCGGATAATGGCTATTGAAGGTGATCCTGAAGAATGGGTCTTGACAACAAACGTGACTGTTCGCCATATAAGTGCTCCACATTCGGGATGGCAATTCCGAGGTATTGCGTTCCATTACGACATGGGGATTCTGTTCTGGACGGAGAGTAGTAACAAAAGAGTGCAGGGACTGACTCTAAATGGGAGCGTTTCCACCACGACCCTGTTCACCAGCACGTCCAGCGAAGTAGATGGTGTGGTGGTGGACTGGATATCTAATAATTTATACTTCGCGGATGCTAAGTATAACTGGATAACACTAGTCGCCATCAACAGTACGGAGAACTTCTATAAGAAAATCGTTAATACAGGTCTCGATAAACCTCACGGCATTGCTATATATCCACAGAAAGGGTAGGTATACTGCCCTAGGGTGGAACGAGTTTTGGAGTTTCCTCAGTTCTTTGGGATGGGATTCAGGGTTATCAGATCTTCCTAGATTGTGGCGAGTTTTAGAGTTTCCAGATCAATTTTTGTCGGTGCAGATTGAAGTTTCACCAAACATATATATTTATGTAGCGGTCGTGTCCATCCTCCCTATTTCGGAAGGAGTTCAAATGTTTTACTTTGAATTAAGACTAGAATGTTAGTAAACCCCCCTAACAAGTCGTCATAATAACAATCCAGTAGACCTATTGGTAAAACAGTTTTGAGTTTGTTTTAATGAATTATTTTTTTCTGATTTTCATCAGAAGTTTTATCAATTGGTTAATTTGTGAATTCAATTTGACCATTGACAACCTGTCTTCGAAAATTTAAAAAGAAAAAAAGTTGATAAGCATATTTTAGATATCACTCCTATACACACATTGTTATTGATAAGAAATGAAATTGGTTTTAATGAAATTGGTTGACTTTCCATGTTTTCTGCTTGATACGATATTAAGATTTGTTGCATAAGTATATTAAGCCGTGTAACAACATTTAAGACCAGTTTTTAATATTTGGTGAGTGTTCTATGGACAAGAACCAATTCCATTAAAATCACTTCTGACAGTTAGCACAGTAAATAAATACATATATACAATTTGTTGTTTTGTAGTTACTTATTTTGGAGTGATTGGGGATACCAACCGAAAATAGAAACTTCCGACCTCATCGGAAACAACCGACGCACATTGGTATCTAATGACCTTGTACACCCACGTGGTCTAGCTGTCGACCAATCGATGAACAAACTATACTGGGTAGACAGTGGAAAGGACACGATAGAACGGGTAGACTTTAACGGAAACAACAGAAAAACACTAGTTCAACTCCAGGGCACCAACTTTTTCGGAATTGCTCTTTATAAAGTAAGTTTAGAAATACAGCTAGGGTCATTATCCCTCCGGGAACCTGCAGATTTGCGTTTGTTGTTAAGCGACATTACTGTTAGTTTCAGACATCAAAATAGGTCTCGCACATTCGTACTACCAAGAAACATGTAGATATGTAATCCATTGTTTGTAATGTTATGCACGTTTCATGGTATTTCTTTTACCAACAGTGTCTTTTGTTGATAGACAATGCATGAAAAAGCTCTATACTGTTACATAGCCTCATCTTGTGAGAATCGGTTATCAGGTTTAGAAAAATCCCCCAACTTTTGAATTATTGCTTTATGGATAAAAAGTTCTGATTCCAGAAATGGCTTTACACTGAAATGTTTATCAGTTCGATATCAACAACAATATTATAAAGGAGTTATGTCTCATGCAGTGTTGTTTATCTCACAGAAATATATCTTTGTGACGGAACAAGTGGAAGGTCATTTACGAATTTACGACAAAAATACCGGCATTAAATACATTGATTATCAGCTGGGTCATCGTCCTTACGGCATCGTCATGTACCACGAGGACCTACAACAAGGCAACAGAGGTAGGATCCTTTGTGTAAACTTTTCAGTGTTTTTAGAGTATCATTTTGCTGGTTTCTGTCAAAAGAAGCTGATGTGTTTTGGCCGATGTAAAGACCCATTGATATTGTCATCAATTTTTGAGTTACATGCATAATCAGATTATTTTTGTGCGCAGTTGAAATGGCATACTCTTTGTCAACTTAGTTTGCTATTCATTTGAATTTTAAAGATGAAATACGTAAGATACATATATGTATTCAATTTAAATATAGCCATATAGATATATTTCACCAGTAACAAAACTTGTATTTGTGAGTTTAAAGCATTATCGTACACACCTAAAGTTAAGAAAATTCGATGTTGACATAGAAATCATCATACGAAAATGAAATATTCACTTTCACTGTTTTTTTCACTGTTGGTTTTTCAGATGAATGTAAATTACTCGGTTGTGAGCAAATTTGTATAAATAATCCTCCTTTCGGTGCCTCCTGTTACTGTGGCGACGGTTACACCCTTAAAGACGATCAGAAAACGTGCGTAGGTATGTCACTCATGTGTCAATGTATCAGGCTTTTTTTCAGTTTAAAACATTCCCTCTTGTTCAGTGTATATAGTTGTATGTATCCGATATTTTTACTAATTAATTATCGATTCTCTATTAAATGACCTATGCTCTTTCTAGGGATACAAAAGTTATCTGTTATTAAATTTCACGCATATTTTCGCAAAATGATTATTTAATTATATGCAAAACGCACATGTATAACTTGACTATATCTTTAATGCTTTTGACTTTTTTCATAATGAAAGATAAACAAAATCGCTTTCTTTGAAATCTATATTAATGGATGTTATATCATCGATATACTGTTGTTATTTATCTTCGAAAAACCATAGTTAATATTGAACAACACGTGGTCAAATATTTCAATGCGATGTTCCAGAAAGTGACTACTTCATTCAGCCTGCTCACATTTACGCCATTGGGGACGCCATATGTCAGTACCCTGTTAACCTGGCGGATATGTCGTTAGTCGACGTCACAATGGATAAACAATGCTTTATGAAGAGCGGAAAAGGGTTCACGGCGCTAACATACGACGCCAATGCAAAAGTACTCTACTACACTGCCAACATCACCAACAGTATCGGTACCGTCCAACTTAAGAAGGGGGCTTACACCGACACCGTCATCCGGGGGCTTGGTGACGTCAGAGGTATGCCCAAACAAGTTTTTCAAGATGCATGTAATATTCATCCTGTTGAAATTCATTTAAGATAGAGTTTTGGAAAACTTATTAGAAATACAGATTTCACACGTAAAAAAGTGGAAATTTGAATTCTATAAAGTATTACATTTACGTATGTCAAGGTAAGTAACACTGTCTATTTCTCCAAATGGGAATTCATTTAAAACAGCGAAATCAAGGGTACAATAACAAGCAATAACGAGCACAGAACATAGTCCATATAGCAAATAAAAATACAATATTTCCAAACGAAGTCAAATTGACAAGCAAAGTTCTACCATTGTGCATCATTCTGTAACTTCCGAAGAATATATGAAAGAAACATATCACCTTTTGGTACTTAAGCGTTACATGCCGTAGAACCATTTAAAGGTTTTATGTTGAACTATCATCCAAAATGCAATGCCAATTTCATACATTTTGAAAACTTGGCAAAGTTCAGACCCTAACAGATTAGCCTTGACCATTTCACATTTCTGCTCCCCGCCCCCTTCCCCCTCCCCCTCCGCACCCTGTTCGATATCCGAAAAGCAGTGAAAGAAGATGCAGCTAAATGTAATTGCATACTTTAAATATCATACGTTAAGATTTACGACATTTACATCATCTATAACTATCACTTGTACGCTGTAACCTTTTTTTTTTTATTCAAACAGGTATGGCACTTGACTGGACGACGTCTACGCTGTACTGGACTGACCGCCAGTTCAAACATATTATGGTTGCTAAGACAGACGGTCGTTACCAGAAAACTATTATCGACACTGATCTAGAGGAACCACTAGGCATAGCTGTACATCCTGAACGGGGGTACGTGGCTCTATAACATATATATCTTTAAGAAAATTCTAGGACATTATATGGTTTTTGGATAAGGAGAACAACGTTTATTCCAAGTCTTTCTTTTATTCCTAAAATATCATTGTAATCCGTTGTTTTTATGAATATATTGAATAATTGTTTTTCTTTATTTTCTTGATACTTTGAAGCCTCACTAATGATGGAACTTTGCCTGTTTTATAGGACGATGTACTGGACTGACCCCGGAAGACAAGTTATAGAAATGTCCTACATGAATGGAGACTCTAGAGCAGAGTTAGAAATCTTCAGCGGAGTCCGGCATCCGAATCATCTCTGTATAGACTTCCATACAGATAAGTGAGTTGTTGAGGATTTTACGAATAGAACGATGTTTAGGAATTTACATCTGTTTGGGAACAAAACAAACAGGACAGGCATTATACAGGACATTGCATTTTTCTCTCTGGTTATTCCTGTAGTCGCAAAGGAAGCTGTAGCTGTGTTCATACTATTTATAAAACATTTACAAACATGTTGAAATCAGACAATATTTCATTATTGGCCGATAACTTTGAATTTTGTTTCCATGTAAACCTATCGGTACAAAAACAAATATTTAGAGCCCGCCTTACAATCATACAGATTATTGTAAAGTTTGATTAAATTCTGTCCTTTAGTATTCGAGAAGCATGGCTCTAAAGATATATATATATATATGAAATAACGAGACGGGACGAAAAAATAACCAATTCGTTTGGAGATGATATTAAAATATATTTATTTACAACCGTAAAGATAACAACAAGACGATACATACATAGAATTTGATGGAAAATATGAAATAATGGAATTATTTTAATTATTCATTTTAACAACTATAATCTGGAGTTGTCCCAACACTTTCTCTCCGATATCCATAATCAATGGTTTATCCAGTTCAGTGTAGCAGAATATACTTGGCATGTTCCGAGCGTTTATGTTTAGTTATCGTGAACTGTTACTGTACTATCTTTTTTCACTTACTACCACGACCAATGCTGCTATCTTGTTTTTCAGACTTTATTGGTCGGATTCCGAGCTGTTCCAAATTGGAAGTTATGACCTGAAAGATGGCATTGTTGCAATTGCTTACTCCCAGCAGTCTGCAAAATTCTTTGGCATCAGTGTCTACCAGGTAAGGTACATATAACAATTAAGATATTGCTGTTTTAGAATATAATCTACATCATCGAAGGATATTTCCTTAGTTAAAATTATAACTAAAACTGTTCTCCACGAGCAGGACTACATCATATGGACAGATACAGACAAGATGAACGGCATTCATGTGGCAGACCTCAACACAGGAACAAAAAAGCGCGGAATTCTTCACCCTCAGGTGGGCGTGTCTGCAGACCTCATTACATACGACCTTTCAAATCAGCCAAACTTAACAGGTATTACAAAATACTGCAATCCCTTTATCCGGAAGCACAGCAAAAAAAAAATGTAATTTTAATGTTTGTGGACCTGACATTAGCGTGCATATTTGATTATCGCAACATCACTCGACAACAACTCTAAATGATATTTTACTGTTCCAAAGTCACAATATCAGTCGACATTATCGTCGTTTGATCCTAGTTATTGTAAGATTAGAAAATGCGTTTTCTCCTCCGGAACACCTGTTCTTATTCGCATTGTACTTTTATTGACTGTGCGTTTGGCTTACGATTATGTTAGCATGGTGATATTTTTTTGTTGTTTTTTTATTATATCAGACATACAATAGTGTTCGACTTTTTCCGGATGTGTTAATCGAAAACCCTTACGATACATATAATAAGTTTAAGCAAGTAATTTAAGGAGAAATGAGACATGTTACGTTCGTTAAACGCTTTTTGGACAAACCCTTGTCATGTTACATTGATGAATGCGTGTTTTTGTCCATTGAAGGGTCTTGCGCAAATTCACCGTGTGACCAACTTTGTCTTCCAAACTCACCGACAACTTCCTTTTGCGCATGTGGAATTGGATTTGAATTAGATGACGTCGATATGAATAGATGCACATCCAGTAAGTATATATATCTGAAATATTAGACATGAAAGGAAATTTATATGTTTTATATCTATTTTCATTGTTCATTTTTTATTCTTCAAATATACAATTTTTGTTAGTGAAAACACAGTTTTTCATTTTGTGTTATTGTCTTCCAAACCATATTCATGATAACTTTTTCATGAATTTAAGCTTATGTATAAAATACCTGACACACAACTAAGATTGATGATAGTTTAAAAAAAGTAAAAAGAACTCGGTCTTTTTTGTTTTTTGGTTTTGTTTTTCGTTTTTGTTTTTCAATTTCTCCATTTCTTTGAAAGTTCTAATACATTGTATAGTTATCAAGGTTTTAATTTAAATGTTTGCTGTCTAACGTACCACAGCATTAATTCGGAGTCTTTTCTAACCTTTTCATCTCTTTGAATTTTAAGGCTTGCTGTCTGACAACTTCTTGATAGTGTCCGATTCTCACCAGAGACACATGTACCAGATCGGGTTAGAGGATCAGAGTGTCCACGCTATTCCACTCCCAAATCTGTACCGCCCAATAGCTCTGGATTATGACTCGCTATTTGAAAAGCTTTACTGGACCGACAATATGGCCAAACTAATTAAGGGTGCTCACATAAATTCACAGACGGAGTTCACACTTCAGATTCTTACGAATGGTTTGTATAATTAAATTTAGAGGCAGTATTGTCGTATATCATTTCCGCGTCTCTGTAAATCTGAACATAAAAATCCAGCCTTTAGGAAAACACTACACTGTGTTTTCAAAGACTGAATAATTGCTAGTTATGTTATTGATGAGCATTAAAGATGCTATATATAATTAGTGACAAGTCGTTGTTATTCTGGAGCTAACGCTGTCATTGTCAGTGTACATCTACATATATTTATGCTGAAGGAGCACAGCAGTACTTTAGCACGTTTTGAATACTACAAAATTTCTTTACTATTACGTTCAAAATATGAGTGAATGTTTGAATAAGCAATTTTAGATGTTGTATTTATCCGTCAGCTTAGCGTCAACGTCGGATGGACGAATATGCAACAACAAAGTTGTTAAAGTTTTCAATGTCTGACTTTCAATCAATGCTCAGGATATATATATAATACGTTTCTTTGCCTTTAGATCGAAGCCATGTGGGTATTGCAATGGTACTATGAAGAATACTTAATTTCGATATTCATGACTTAATTCCGATATTCATGACTTAATTCCGATATTCATGACTTAATTCCGATATTCATGACTTAATTTCGATATTCATAGCATAATTCCGATATTCATAGCATAATTCCGATATTCATGACTTAATTCCGATATTCATAGCATAATTCCGATATTCATGACTTAATTCCGATATTCATAGCATAATTCCGATATTCATGACTTGATTCCGATATTCATGACTTAATTCCGATATTCATGACTTAATTTCGATATTCATGACTTAATTTCGATATTCATGACTTAATTCCGATATTCATGACTTAATTTCGATATTCATGACTTAATACCGATATCCATGACTTAATTTCGATATTCATGACTTAATTCCGATATTCATGACTTAATTTCGATATTCATGACTTAATACCGATATCCATGACTTAATTCCGATATTCATGACTTAATACCGATATCCATGACTTAATTCCGATATTCATGACTTAATACCGATATCCATGACTTAATTCCGATATTCATGACTTAATTTCGATATCCATGACTTAATTTCGATATTCATGACTTAATTCCGATATTCATGACTTAATTTCGATATTCATGACTTAATTTCGATATTCATGGCTTAATTCCGATATCCATGACTTAATTCCGATATTCATGACTTAATACCGATATCCATGACTTAATTCCGATATTCATGACTTAATACCGATATCCATGACTTAATTCCGATATTCATGACTTAATTTCGATATCCATGACTTAATTTCGATATTCATGACTTAATTCCGATATTTATGACTTAATTTCGATATTCATGACTTAATTCCGATATTCATGACTTAATTTCGATATTCATGATTTAATTCCGATATTCATGACTTAATTCCGATATTCATGACTTAATACCGATATCCATGACTTAATTCCGATATTTATGACTCACTTACATACAAATAAAATCTAAACTATCCTTTTCCTGTTTTAGACTTTAATCTTTTTCTTTAACCTAAACGTAGTGCAAATAGCCGTGTTTGTGACGTCTTTTTGTTGACCCACCTTCTAGTGTCTGTTATTGACGGGATTGCTGTGGATTATATCAACCGTCTTCTGTTCTACACCAACACTGGTCTCAACACCATTACTGTTATCTCCCTTGCACGGACCAGACTCAGCCGGACTGTTGTATATGAAGACCTCGACCAGCCTAGAGATATTGCCGTTCACCCACTTGATGGGTTAGTTTTCATTCAGACATTGCATTTCAACCCATGGATGAGTAGATACAATTGTAATTTGAATATTGAAGTTGTTCTTAAAGTTTAGAAATCCATTCCCTTGCTTCCGTCGATAAGAAGGTCAGTTTAGTGAATGAAGTTTCAAGCCCAAACCCGGTATAAACGCTAAACTATGAATTACCAATGTTACATCACAGTTTATAGAAAATTAGGAATTATGTTGCTTCATTCATTCGCTTGACTATTTAGCTGTTAATATTACAGTCGGATTTTCTGGACCGACTGGGGACGTCAACCAAAAATCGAAACTGCCAATATGGACGGATCAGAGAGAGCGGTTCTAGTCAACCTCACAGAAAAGTCTTGGCCAAACGGAATAGCTGTCGACTACACAGGTAGATGGCTGCAATATTCGCCTGTTTAATGGGAAATCCTGTTTCCTGTAAGATTTGGATTCTATCTTATTTTTGGAACTGCAGTAGGCGTGGCTACAAGCGCCAACCGATCTGCTTCATTATATTGAATTATATATCAACATAGATTGGATAAATATTTTGTCAGTTTGTCATTTTTTTTCTATTTTTTTAACCGTGGAAACAGTTTTGTCAGCACCCTCTTTTCTCACTACTTTTACAAATACATTCTGTAATTTTTTAAATATATTATTCATGTGTCACTGAATCTAATATTTTCGACAAAAGGGGATTACTTACCTCCATAGCAAACCCCTGGCTAAAATTAGATTAAGAGTTTTACTGTTTGATTCGATAAAACGATATCGCGGCTGCTTGAGCGTCGTTTTGATAGACGTAAGCTCCGTGATGTTAATAAATTAATTAGGTGTTATTCATCAGTAAAATCTATGTTTTGATTATTTCTCGTTGAAGATGACATTACTTACTTTTAATATCTTTTTAAAGACCTCTGTGTAACTATTTTAAGTTTAAAGTTAAAGTGGTCTTATTTACTTAGAGTTTGAATTTCTTTTTGCATGTCGGATTTTTTATTTATCTATTTATTTACTATTTTGTAAACGTGCTAATAGCCTATGATTTGAAAAATGTCAAAGAATGGTTATTGACTGCTGTTAAGGATGAACTACAAAAGGGATGAAGACCGCCCATATAACATATTTCGGTATTCTATCAAAATGCGTCATACAGTCTAATGTTTGTGATGTGCTGTTATATATATATAATAGAATATTTGCTTGTTTCCCCTTTTTATGAAAAAATGATCTAATAAAAAACTATTCTTAATAACCGAAAAGTCCATTTTTTAATTATTCAGAAAGGAAAATCTATTGGGTGGACGCTAAATACGACAAAATTGAGGTTATCGACATCAATGGCCAAAACCGGAAGACAGTTATTGAAGAACCCAACAGTCACTACTTCGGGATAACTGTTCTTGGAAACTTCCTTTACGTCACAGACTGGAAACGAAAGTAAGTTCATGGAAATCTGAAGAACTGTTATGTCAAGCATATTTATCATATTGCGTTTGTTACTCCTAATGTAGCAGATACGTTGATTCGTGAAAAGCTTGTAAAAACGTACTTTCTATTGTGATACAAATTCGATTATTACTGTTGATAACGTTACTAGTTTGTATTTTTTTTTCAGTGCCGTTTCCCGACTGTTAAAGACTGGAGGAAATATGGAGCAGATCGGACCGTCTAGTTTTTCTAGGCTTAATGGTATAGCTGCCTACAGTAGTGACTCCGTGCTGAAAGGTAAGTAGACGACTTAGACGGATGCATATATATGTAACGACAAAGATAACCATCTTAAGATAATACATTTGTAACTCAACTATAAGAACAAAATCAAGCTTCTCACTAGTTTTTGATGATGAAGTCTTGCGCTTTAAATAACTTTAGAGTTAAAGTCGGCAAAATCAGATAAAAGAAACATAGGTAAACAAAATTCACCTGAAGAACAAAAGAAAGAGTTCAACTCAACAGATTCTATCTTATGAAATAATATTGGAAGGTCACCAGCTATATTTGTTGTGTCTTTTACGGATTTTCTTATTTACAGGAAGGAACGCATGCTTCGACCACACATGTGACCATCTTTGCCTTCCGAAACAGAACCTTAAATATACATGCGCATGCGCAGACGACTACGTGTTATTGGGTGACCGGTGTATTTCATCAGGTAGAAATTATTACATATTCTGAAATAAAATATTGACATGGTCATATAACATATTCAATCAATATTTCGTCTTTTCAAGGTATACAAAAAACTTGAAATTTGTACTATCTAATTTCTTATTGGTTAATAACGTATTCAAACTAATCTGTTACAGGGTAGTTTTCGAACCGGTGGACGTTTTCAAGTATTAGATTAAATATATAATGAGTTATTTATGTCGCTATGTTTTTTTTTTTTTTTTTTTTAGAAATTCCAAGTAACAAGACGACTGAGCCGGCGACTGTGACAGTATCAGGTTGGTGGTTTGGTTGTAGTTCTTGAATAGATTTAAGCGAAACTAATATATTTTTTCTTGATGGATGATAATGATTACTTTTATCGGCATTGTACAGAAAGAACAGAAAGACAAAATGTTTCTATTTACAAGGCTTCACAAATACAAACAGATTATAGATGAACAGGACATACGCTATCTGTTATTGCAATGGCTTTATCAGAACCCAACACCATAATAAAAAACACATAAAATACACGAAGTGAATACAAGACAAATAAAACAAGATGGTATATCGTCTTCTTAATCGAAAACACCCGCCTTATAAGTTATCTAGCAATCGTTTGTATCTAACTGTGAAATTACAAAGAATATTGTCAAGCCTTATTGTCCGCTCATTTCATCAATGCTGCGGTTGGATTTTAGTATTTTCTGAGCTTGACTGTATTGCAAACATTTCTGGCGGATATATGTGACCGACAGGGGTAAACCTTTTTACAGAAAATACATCATCAATATATTTAAAAGTGAAGCTGAGTGATATAGCAAAGTGTTTTTCCTGTTTTTACCAATTCTGCGATAAACTCTGCCTCTTTTTGAAATGTTACTCGTAGGTCAACCAGGATAGAAGAAAAGTAATTTATGAATTGATATAATGAATGTGCAAATAAGTTGAAACAAAAAGTAATTGTTAGAGATTTATTGACCATATCCGTTATATTTACCCACCACAATTGGTAATCAAGGCCACGACAGACTACATCAGCTACTAATCTCGATCTTTTCCAACAATGACAACTTTCCACAAAGTTGTATGATAAACGTGATGATTTTAAGTTTTCCTATTTTGAATATTCCATTTCTGGATAGCAACAATTCTGAATCCGAAAACTAGGATGTTCACATTTCGCAGTTTATTCAAGGGCTTGTTCCAAAATATCACGTTTTTCTTGCAAAAATGTCGGAATCTAACAAACTAAAGCACCAACACAGGGTATCATGCAAAGCAGGTTGGTGAAAATTATAGAAGGGAGAAGTTTAATTCTTCTCAAAGTGCTTCTAATATGGGATTATTCTAATAGTGCTTTATGAAGTTGTTACATTATTGTAAAGTATGATAGTTCGATTGTTTTTATACTTGCTTTGTTTAATAGGGGACTAAGATTTACTTGGCGGGTGTCGTCGAAGAAGCAGAAGACACTTATTCCTCCACAAATACTTGGTCATCATTTCCTTTTATTGTTTTAAGAATCTCTGCATATACTTTTCTCTTGTTTATAGTTTGCTCAAGTTTCATTTAAATTGAGTTTTATTTAAGATGCTGGTATCGTGTCAGTGATTATTTTGATGTTTTTTGATAACGTTTAATATATCGTTTATTTTAAAATCAAAGCCATTTCAAAGTTCCAGATGTGAGTAAACCATCCGTGGGTACGGTGAAAGGGCGTTCAGACTCTGCCAAAGGCTTGCATGTCGGAGCTATTGCAGCCATCGCCAGTGTTGGCGTGTTGGTCGCCATAGTTGCAACAATAGCCAGTATTTTCCTATACCGCAAGTGAGTGCAATAACATTAAAGACAAAGTAAGGTTTTAAATGTTAATACTGTGTGACAATCTCGTCCGATGTGATTTTGAAATACGACTTCTCTTGCTGGTATAGTCAGGGCATGTCTATCACCGATGTGATTTGTCACTGGTATAGTGAAGTCTTGTCTATCGTCTAGTTATGAATTAAACATATTATTAATAAAATGAAGACATGTTTTTCGTCTAGCTAGCCGATATGAATTAAACATATTATTAGTACAGCAGAGACGTGTCTATCGTCTAGTTAGTTGATATGATTTTAAAGTGTTACTAGTACAGTCAAGGCGTATAACACTTATTCTGTCATCTCATTCTAAGCCATCTTTCAATAGAAGTCATTTCAGTAGTAGCTTTAAACTTCATGAATCAGAAATCACACGTATTTTGTATATAAATCTATATACGTCAACGTTCACTAGCTTACTCTTGTTGTTTCATTAATATCAATATATATAACTTATCTCATTATATATTTAATCTCATCATATATTGTTATTTGATTAATTTAGAAATTACGTTAGGAATATAATATTTTCTTCTTTCTTTTACAGATATAAAGATCAGTTTATTCACCATAATCGTTTAGTTGAGGACAACCAAGTGGATTCGTTCTATAGGATCACATTTCCGGATAATAAGGATGAGCCAATGGTAGACTCTGGTATAGTAAATCCAGGCTACAAACAGACAGATAGATAAAGAGTAAGAATCAAAGTATAAAAGTCTAATGGACCAGAATCCCATCATTAACTTTTATAGTGTTTGGAAAACGGCTGAAATTTGATGGAATTAGCTACAGAGTGAGCGCTAGTGTTTTGAAAATATTATGTTGCCAGGGAATAGTTCTGCACAGATCTTGTCAACTTGAAGTCCATGAGGATAACTAATGCATTACCTGTCAATTTATTCGACGGTGAACATTTATGACCTTTCTTTCATGTTCTATGACCTACATCGAGAGTACCAATATCGAGGCAATAGCATTAATTTCTTCTCTGTTTTCATAGTCAATGGCTAATTTGAGGCGCCTCGATTAGTCCTTGTTATCTGAACTTTTGTAAAGTTAAATGTAAATATTATATATGTATATATGAGAAGTTGTAAATGTTGGACAAAACTTGTATATCGTATGAAAAATATTCTGTATGTAAATATTTTGTGAGTTTTAGAAAAAAATATGTGCACGTGATACAGCATATATCTAGTCATGATTCCCTACTTACCATACCATGGTGTTACTTTCCTATGACTAACATTAGTGTACGCTAATGTATTTCATTTTTCATCACCATTTACTGTTTCCTTTCTTCCTTTTGAGTTTAACATTTTGAATTGTAACTAAGTAACTCCCATCGAAATGTTTTCTTTTGTAACCAAGCAAGGACTCGACAGCAAAAGGGAGAAGATGAACTATGGAATTCATAATGGTCATAACTTATGCATCAGTCTCTAACTAATGACTGTTGTTAAAGTCATGTTATATAACTCAATGTTTCATTAAAATAGAAAAGCGAACCTTGGCGTGCACTTTCTTCTCTGTATTACTATTATCAAAATGTTTATAACGTAAATTTACAGCCATGTTTGACATTGTCAAGTCATTTATCTGTTTTTATTAGGGGAAAGTTCGAATCCAAATTTTACTGATGAAAGGTGTGGTATCTACGAATAATTAGTTAATACACAAATGTAGACGCAAATTTGATTTATAGATTAGATACTTTACATAAATTTGAGGAAACACTAGTCACTATTTGTTACGATAGTAAGACTTTCCGAGAATCAGATAAGAAAAGAATATTTTGAAATGTTAAAATATTTTGATAAGGATTTGAACCAGTAGAGCAATATGGTTAATACATAGTGTTATGTGTAGGAGTAGCAGGAACTCGGGTACCATTACGAGTGTTACTGAAATACATGAAAAAAAAACATGTAAAAAGAGATTGTAATTCATTTTTGGAGTTGAAGTGATCTAAGAGTCACTCTCTTGAATACCTATGAATTATACTTACGTAATTACTTCAGTTGAAAAGTAAATAATAACCAATCCTTTGATTAGAGACCGAAAATTCGGATTTTAATCTCTCTTTAAATCCACTTCTTAATTTGTGACCAAACATAATTTACATCATTCTCTGGTCCCAAATAAAGAAGGATTGTTCCAGCCGATGATGTAATAAAGCAACGTTATTCGAATGTGTGTTCCCATCTGGTCATTCTCGCTTTTACGCGGCTATACACTAAGAACTATGGATCCTTTTGATGCCATTTTGTAAACCGTCAATACCATTATTTGCATACTACAGAATGAAAAACAAATTATGTATGGTAACTAAAAGAGAACCCGTTGCTTCAATTCCTGTATCTGGCAAAGTTAAAAGAATTCATATATTCATGAATGCCATTCAATTTTGATATTACACTAAGACAAAAAATGTTGTTTTAGTTGTATTTTAATAATTCATTTACCAATGATATATACATAATTTGTTAGTTGAGAAGTCTATATAAAATACGTTGCAAATCAATCCAATCTCAAGAAACGTTGTTCCCATGTACAAGACACACAGTTGTGGTATACCTTCATTCTACAAATCAATCACAAGGTCACAAAAGGTGTCAAATTTCTAAGTATGTAAGTATTATAAATATATTCATTTCCACATCTTCCACTTGTCTCTTACTCATAACAGTGTTAGTCTAATCCAGTCAGTGCTTTGTTTGATATGATTGGAAACAGGATAACATTTCTGACATGATTCTGTAGAAGTTGTTCATCACACCATTGGATTTACAATTCAGACGAAGGAACTAAATCCATTTACAGGAAATATGTTAGTCAGTTGACACGTACTAATAGACTGTGGTAGATCTCGTACAAGTACTATCAGAACTTTTTTGGATTACAGGACTGATTTCGTTAAGTTTCATCAACATATGGATGCTGTAATTAACATCGCCTTTGAAACAAGCTTCATCAGGCTTAGAGTGTTTCCATGTCATAGATCATCAGGTTTGACGTTTCAAACATGAACAGTTCCACCCCAGATTGGTTGCGTGTGTTTTCAGAGACACAATGTCACACAGGACGAGAGAACCAAAAATGAGTCCCAGCATAATAGCCCCAAGCATCCCGAGACCTTTGGCTGACGATCGGCTGTCAGCGGCGCTGATTTTCTTGTTACGGAAGGAAGATAAGTCTGTCTTGTTGACAGTCAATTGTTTCTTTGTCGCCTCCATTTCTGGTCTGACCGTCTCTTTCTTTTCATCATCCGTCATGTCTGCTGGTAGGGCATTGTCTTCCCAGTATTTCATTTTGTCGTAGTACGCACAGTCACAGGGACAGTACTCGGTATCTGAAAGGAACGTCGTCGATCATTACAACTGGTATGGTAAAAGGCAAAATGTATCCATCGTTACTAAATAGTGTATTTTCAAAACATTATTGAATTAATGTTTACGGACTACTGTAGGCTGTCTTTTTATACTTTCCTGTATAGTAACATACAATTGTGTCAATGATTGTGTTTATTCTAAATTCGATTGCAACATATAATTGGTGAATTGTATCGATAAAACCAATTACATATTTGTAAGCTTGAAATAATTATTAACTTTTTGTAAACAAATATTGTTTTGTGTTGTATTGTATTCTATTGTATTGTATAATGATACATTGTTCAGGGAATGAACAAATTAAAGAAGAAACAGATCTTGTGACTAATGTCTTAAACCAGATGCTTAATTGCACCTAATATTACTTTTATTCCGCTTATGGAGTAAACATTTTCGCAAAACGTACCTAACGCTTCAGAACATGTGTTGTAGTACTTTGTTGTCAGAACTGGGTCACATGTATCATCTGAAAAAAAAACGATGTTGGCTTGATGACAGTGAACCTAATGATATTGCGCTTCAGGTTCAAGATTTCACAATTCATTACAGTCATGTTGATAATTAGATAGGTTTTATGCTTTTGATTTGCAATATTACATAATACCCAAGAAAATCTGCAATTAACTTCAGATCTCTAATATCACCTCAATGGCGTACAATATAGCATTTAGATATATTATACCAACAGTAAAAAGTAGCATTTTCGCCTTGGTGACATAACACATTACGATGCAGATAAATAAGTAAATAGAACGGCAATTACTTGATAGGTCTCAATGAACATTTCAAAATGTGTCGTTATTATGACCGCTTGTGTTTCTTTGAACTTCTTTTCAATTACTTCGCAAACTAACATGAGCTAAAGCTGCTCAATAACCTATTCCACGCCCCCAACCATGTGATTAGATATGTACCAATATGAATAGATAATTTGAAGAAGTTAATTATATATCATATATTATGCATGTTGCAATATGAGACCTCCGTGATTAAGATGACATTTTTACAATATATCAACTTCCTGATTTATCGCCCTTTCGTTTTTACTTAATGCTAGAATTTTATTCACATCTCGCCATTATTTTCTTATAATGTATTCAACGAATGAATCCTAGGCTAATTAAAATGATCGTCGTACTGAACACAAGTCGAATCTGCATCATGCTTGCTTCTCTAAAGGTAGTGCTGGTGTCTGGATTAGTAAGACTATCTGAAACGTAAAAAACAAATATTTCATACAATGTCGCATTTTAAAACCAGGTATACATGGAAGTATTTGCAAGAACATTGACAATTTCAACTAAACATTATGTATGAGTATGGATTTTATACAAATCAAGCGTCATGGAAGAGTTATGTTAATTTATGACGTAGTGACGCGATTCTTGGGCTTACAACTGTTCCACCAAGATCTTAGTGATTGATCTCTGACTATAATATCACAACATAATTGGTAAACAACGCATTGTTGACCTTCTATTTTTATGAACATGTATTTAATTGCCCACACTCTCTGTATGATGTTGTGATATGACTGATTGGCTTTATAGTGTGATATTATAGAATGCTTTAGGACACCCTTTACGGTACTTGGGTATGACTTGTCCATATCAAAACTTCATTGCCTTCCTTTTGTGATATATCCATATCATTTGTCGGCCTGCCACTATGGTTACTCGATAAAATTGGTGGGTCTTCCATTGTGATAACTCGATATAATTAGTGGATCTTCCATTGTGATAACTCGATATAATTGGCGAGTCTTCCATTGTGATAACTGGATATAATTGGCGTGTCTTCCATTGTGATAACTCGATATAATTAGTGGGTCTTCCATTTTGATAACTCGATATAATTGGTGAGCGCCTGAATAATGGGAGTGGTCATAGTAATAACCAACCTTGTAAAGCAGTCTGTGATTTACCGTTGGAGCTGTAGAAGAACCTTGGCCTAGTGACGTCATCACGTTTATTGTATACAGCCGCTCGTATGTCGTTATCACTATCATCATACAGGATGAAGTCATAGTCAGATACCCTGAAGTTTTAAGTACATTATGACAACAGTATAAGTCTTTGGTATTAATAAACATTAGCATCAACATCACAAATACCCTTAACGTGGGATTAATGGGTTTGAATACTTCATATTTGCAAATAATTTTAACTAATCAGAAAGCTGAAAATATCTTTAACACTGTGAAACAATATTTATTTTTTGGTGTTCTGTTGGTCTAAGCAATAGTAGTCATGAGATAAACAAATCTTTGTAGGAATTATTTGTTGGTAATTAGAATTCAACGAGCTCAGTATCGGTTCAATTTCCTATCTGTTCAACTATGTGAGAAACATTTTTATCAATATAGCTTTTAGCTAATAGTCACTTAGTAACAAATTAGATAACCGAAACAAAGATGGGGAAAAAAGGGAAAAAAGTATTCAAGTCTAAGTATTCAATTAGTTTATGCCCCTCTCTCTCTCTCTCTCTCTCTCTCTCTCTCTCTCTCTCTCTCTCTCTCTCTCCCTCTCTCTCTCTCTCTCTCTCTCTCTCTCTCTCTCTCTCTCTCTCTCTCTCTCTCTCTCTCTCTCTCTCTCTCTCTCTCTCTCTCTCTTCTACTTTGAAAGTTCCATCTCATAACCATTCTATTTGCCCTCGAATTCTCGCGTTATAATCATGATAGTTTGTTTTCTATAGCACGAGATTCAAATATAAGATACGGGAGATAACAAATTCTCAATCGCGATAACTGTATTACAAGACTTCAGAAAGAATGACAGTAAGGAAAATCCATCCCCGGCCACATCGCTATACCTGTACTGACATAGTGAACGATGGACAAATCCTCTTGGAGATCAGAATGGGGAAATCAAGATATTTGTTTGAATGCCCCAGAAAAACAGTTCCTCATCTTTGCAAGTTAGCAATCTAATGATGATTTTCCAATGCTATTCTTTTATCGCTTGACTTTAAATGACAGTAAAACTTGTTCCTTACCATCGCTCCCACCCCTCTCAGATTGTACAAAAGAAACACGAGTCAATAACCAATAACAAATTTAAAGTAAGATACAGTAGAGTGAAGTAACGAATTAAACTGTATGATACATCTGTTTTGTCCTTCTATGTCTAAATGTTGAGGCTTAAGAGGCGAATATGGAAAATCAAAAGGGACCTTAACAGATGTGAAAATCGAGATGGGGAGTTCCACTATAGAAAGAAATTCTAGGTGTCATTTTTGGACAGGTAGGATCACCCGAAAAAGGTGTATATTGAGCGCACCCTGACATCATGATTTTCCGAAGTAGTTCTGAACATTTTTGCAGGTCAATGGAACAAAACAGTCAAAATCAAGCAACTAAAAAATAAATAAGTGTGACGTTTCATTGATTAGAGGGCCACCATCATCAGACAAATGACCAGTGTGATGCTTATCATCATTGACATATGCATGACAAGTACGTACCCGGTATCCAAGGTGACATTACGATATCCAGGGATATCCGAGGGGAAAATGAAAGAAGGCTTCTGCTTCATCCATGCTTTCAGGTTTGTTGATCGAGAGGATGGATCAATTCTGATACTATACTCAAATAGATCAAAGAATATCCAAACCTGTTGAAACATAAAATGCTGATAAAGGCATAGTATGTTATGCTATATGTATGATAAAGTCGTAATACATTATCGTGATTCTTAGAAACAATATCACATAAAAGCACAGGAAGTCAAATATTTGTTACTTTACCTGGAAAGGGCAATCTATTCTTCTGCTGATATCGATGTTCTTGCTCCGAAACATACCGGAACCGGAAACGCTGCATTCCACACCATTCATGTTGTACAGATCAAACATATTCACACGGCTACCTCGAGGGATATGCATTTCCGCTTGAAGTGAAGAAAATAACTTTGTTAGATCAATAATAACATTGATAGATTAATGATTGTCTCAATCATCGCAGTTTTCATTCTTTGATATCACGTGTTTAATAATGTCTGCGACATTCTGTAACTGAAGTAAGCAGTCAGAGACGTTGTTATTGTTACTTTTTATAGATACGACGGAATTTGATATGCAATGAACTAAGAAGAAACTGATACAAATTCTTAAAACTATCTTCATTGAAATAAATAAGTATGCCTATCTGCTTCTCCTGGTGTTTTCATCCTCCAAATGTTATTCGTTATTATTTGTTTCAACCCATATATGTTTTTGAAGATTCTATTCTAGTTTCTAGATTTCTTCCCTCAGCATCTGAATCTAAACTTTTTATTGATAACTTGAAAAATGTGTCTCTTGAGAAAACATTATTTCATCATTTAGGTTCCTCAGCCATTCCAATAGGCTTAATTCTTTGTCTCATTGTACATTAAATGTCAACAAATGTAAAATATCCCTGTTGATAACTTATTAAATATTAGTATTTCTACATTTTTGCAAGTATTACATGCAATTCCAAGGTTTGGTTATCAAACATAAACGTTCAATTGTAATAAATAAATAACAGGACTTTGTTGTTATCGTTTCTGCTGTGGAATAATGTGGATTGGTAAATTAATGATATTGACATTTTCTGGATGATATGTTCTTCAGCCATCAGTAAGGTTTATCAGGTGCGGATTGCATTCTGCGTTCCTAAATGCTTCTACCTGACCAAGGACGCATGGAGTGTGTAATCAACATTTATCGATTTCTTGGCGCTATGGAATACTTGCATGAGTCTTTAATTAATACCCATCGCGTCTAAAGACGTCATCAAACGATTAGAAATGTCACCAACATTACATAAAGATAATTCACAAGTATATTATTAAGCTTTTTAGCTTAAACCAACTACATGTACCTTAATTGGGTGGTCCATTATCGAATATACGTGCTTAAACAACGACTATGGTTTTCAATGTTCATATGGAAAACGAAGAAATTAATTTGGAGTTCAGGAAAATTTCTTTCACCAAAAATCGACAAAAACAGATTTTGATGTTGGATTCAGATAACAAATAGCAAATTGCTACATGCATGCAACGTAAACGAATCTTCAAAACTCTAGTTTGCACAATGTCGTATCTTACAACTGGTAATAGGTAATAGTGGCTATTCTCAGTATTTAGAAAATGGTAATAGTTTATTGCTTTCCAAACATATTTCAATTCTGTTTTCTATAGAGAAGTAAAGACAAATGTTCTACGATCCTAAGGTATAAACTGTGATTTAACGCTTAATAAGTTGTCGAAGAAATACGTTTCCAGCAATAATTCATGCGATTCGTATTGGGGAAAAGAAAGCGAATGAATATTCCGTCAGAACCTGTAGTGTTTTGTTATATATATATAGTGGATTTTCACTCCATAAAAGCTTATCGAGAAGATATTTTGATAACAGACAGATACCTGATACTGTATATATATATATATAATTCACTATGTTTGTACACCGACTGTATCTCAAGTTTTCGGGTGAATTAATTTAAACACTTTTTGATACAAAAGAATGGATTTATGCAACATCACATAAATCTGTTACCATTCTACGACAGAAGATACAACGTCTTTGTATCTATATTCTATATATTTCATATTATATATTATATATCTATATGTTTAATATATAGTATAAGCAACGGTTAGAGGTATGAAAATTGGTAAATCTGAGAAATTATGTCATATGTTTGTAAATAAACTTACTACTATCAAACGCGAATAAACACACAACAGCTCTTAAATTAACACAAAGTCAGTATGGTATTACAGACCCTATTGTAACAAAATATGACAGAATTTGTGATAACAACACAAAACAAAATATATAACACCATATCAACAATCAACATACGGGAGAACACCTATCATAATATCAACAAACAGATATATATACTATATTATATCAACACACCGAGATAATATTGCAAATTAACACACAAACATATGTACAATAATTCTATATTGTCAACATACAAATATATACTATAGTGTCAACAAAGGTAAAAATATATTCCATTTCGTTTAAGGCATTTTCTTTAAAATCTCAAGAAGTGATCAAAAGTTTGAAAATCATTTTATTTTGTAACAGTTATTCCGCGAGGTAAACTGGAAACGTTATCAACAATGATTTTGGAAATGTAAAGCTGAAATACGCATTCGATAACCAAATTTAACTGGTCATTGAATGGGGAAAAATCAAATGTGAATGAAATAAAATTACCTATGATAGATGCAAAGGAACACCCAGTCAACATCAGTGTTAAAACAACTGTACTTAACACCCAAATCCTGGCACCAAGGCGGGTAGTCCACATGTCCAACATCCTCGTGTTTTGCTCCGTGCAATAACGGCAGGCACTTGTACATAGCCTATCTGTATGGGAATTGATTAGGAATGCGTAATCATGCTTCACAGGTATTCATCACCGGTAACTCATTTAAAAAGGGGCGTTCCAGGGGAGTAACCCTCTGTTCTCTTATTCCATAGTTAAACACGGAATATCCTTAAACGCATAAGTAAACTCACAAAGAAAAGATGCTTTTTCAATCTTTGATATAAATGTCCAAATCTCCTCATGAATATATATCCATAATAAAATCACCCAGTTCATATTCAGAGCTCGATAATTTTTTTTTTTGTTTTTTTTTTTTTTTTTTTTTGTTTTTTTTTTTTTTTTTTGTTAATTTGATATTTTGTTTTGTCAACATATATGTTTCTTTGAGGGCGGGAGTATGTGAGTTTAATGGATGTGTTTTTAGAAGCCATTTGTGTAAGCTTGCTGGTGACAGATCGGAAATAATGCCGACTATTGTTTTTGTATTCAAAGATCCCATGACTGATTTCTACACTGCGATATGGCTTATCAAAACAGACAACAATGATCTTGCTCAACCGTTTTATTGCAGTTGTAGATATATTGTGATGTCTTACCTGTAGGGTGCCGTTCACTGACAAGCAAACGCGTAACAGAGGGTCTCCAGAGATGCAGGGTGATGAATACTATGGGGAAGTTTTACGGTCATCATTGTGGTCTCATTGGGAAAAATTATGTTTCGTCCTTTAAGGAATTGTTGTCAGTAATGCTAAATGCCTATATGTTGAAACACAGGAAAATTGTCAGAAATAAATATTGCAGTTGATTCGAAAGAAAGTCTAGGGCTTGTTTCCTCTATCATGATTTAGATGTCGAGAGCTCAGAGGGGAAATATGCAAGGAGTTTCAAGAAATCCAAGTTGAGATTGATGAAGACTATGAGAAGCTATGGGAAGTCTTACAGGTAAAAATAGGACTTCATAAAATATGTTTTGTCCATATGAATATATGCATGGTGATTTCGTAATCATATTTCTGCTTCTGATATTTGGAAAGTGACATAATGTAAGTTTATTTCCCCAGACCATTACGTTGTTTGCATTTCCTGTTACCGTGCCATTGTATACATGTATAAAAGTTATACGTGGTACAAAGGGTTGCAGAAACGTTAGAAACTCCGGAGTTACAGACAAAACCAGCCCAGCGATTTAATTGTTTTCAATTCATTAAATACGCACGACGGAAACACTTGCTGTGTCATAATTTCCCGACTAGTGGGTGGGGGCTGCACTATGTTGTAGGGATCCAACATACGAGAGAAATTTACATCCAATAACGGATTTTCCTCATATAATCACATACAGCCTCGCCAGTCGTCACGTTTGAGATCAATAGTGTGCCTATACAACTGTTCGTGTGTTATCGGTCAGGTCAAGTGCGTTTTTCCAATATACAATAATATAACAATCGGCACCTGCCAGGAGACAAAGTAGCACATCCGACTCGCGAGATTTAAGATTAATTCAAACTAAATAAAAACAGTTTCCTTCTTGCATGGAGACAGATTTACGCGCTTTATCTTCAATCTGGTGCAGACACGCGTTTACGTAACAATCACATCACCTATGTAATGTTTGCATATGCTTCAAATGTTTAACATTTGTTCAGGTAATTATCTAGTGTTAATGAGATTAGTAAGCTATTCAGCATTGACCATATGTAATTTTATTTCATTCACATTTGATTTTTCCCCATTCAATGACCAGTTAAATTTGGTTATAAGAACGTATGTTAATTAACAGTATAGTAAACATTATTTTCTAATACTTCGGATCTTCATGTCGTTGAAAATTTGTTGAAAAAAAAAGAGAAACATTTACAGATACATAAGAATTATAAGAATAAAGAAAGTGTGAAATCATTGTGAGACTGCTTCTTAGTGCAGTACTTTATCATACAACATTTAATTGTATTGCACTTAACACTGTATAATGAAAACCTTAACAAACTCTACATGGTGATTATATTGGAATACTGACATATGTATTACATTTACATCGACATGGAGGGGGATAGTATAATAAGCCCACAATTCAACGAAAATCTTAATTAGTCAAGTACATGTTCAGAATCGTAACCGTGTTTAATTATGTTAGTTGCTATTTTGTTAAGTGTTCAACTACATAGCTTGTTGTAATTTATCATAAACTTCTAGGTCAGTGTCCAACGTAGCATCTGCAAATGGTTTCAATACACTAAGCAGGCAAGATGGGGTTATTCAATTCAGACATAATTTTGGGAAAAAACTAATAATATTTCTTACTAGAGGAATATCAATATCAAAAAGTCTATTATGAGAAACATGATCATAATCAGTATCATAATTTGTGTAAGGTTCAAGTGAACCACAAACATTAGCGGGGTGTCATTATTTAGAGTACTAGAGGCTTCCTGTCTGTTTCCCTCCATCAGACCACACAGGGACGTATCGTTGACAAATCACATTGAAGACTAATACATCACTAATTTCATTAATATATAATAACAAGTATGAACCTAACACTGAACCTTTGGACAGCCCTTCCTGTTTTACAGTTAAATCCATCTATAACTACTCTCTTCCTCCTATCAATAAGGTAAGATGCGATATATTTTTTTTTCAATATATCAACTAGACCATCATGTCAAATCCTATCGAACACTTTATCAATAACACAGAATATCATTCGTGCTTCTTTCGTTTAGTCCAAATGTTTAACAATGTCCTTCTAGATGATTAATAGTTGAGTTACAGTCATAGCCTAATTGATTCCAAGTAATTATATCATTTATTTGAAAAACAATTATCTTGATTTGAAAAACAAGTATCTTGCATAACGTAAGAATTGCATAGATAAGTCTGTAATTGGATGGATCACCCTTTTCGCCATTCTTTTTTTTAGGTGTTACATAAGGTGGGGAATGTCCTTGTAGAGATAGATTCATTAAAGAAATAGTAGCTTCACAAAGGATTGAGCAACTCCTTCAATGAATTTGGAATGATATCAGAACAGGCAGAGGTGTCATCATTTAGAAGATTGAGTTCATAAATAACATCATGTTTAGTTAAATCGATTGGTGGGGAATTATATCTAAGAAGACGACTAACAGGTGGTAAATCTTGAGCATTCTTTTCAATTACAGAGAAAGATGTGAAGTAATCATTGAAATATTTAGCTTTTTCAATGGTGTGTATATGAGATTTCCGTTTATTACCAAAGGAGAGTCGGTCTCGTATTTGTTATGAAGATTCCATGCTGATTTTGCAACTCGTCACAATTTTCAAGGAGAAATAGTTTTATCAACAGGAGAAGATAATTAATTAGATAAGTATTTTGCTTTGGTCTCATGTATTAAGAATATTGCTACGTTTCGAATAAATCTAAATTTGCCACAGGCAGCCGGGGTATTATTAACTTTTGCCTTGGAATGCTGACGATTTCGATACAATATGTTTGGTTCTTAGAGTTCCCAAATCAGGGTTACGCTGTTTTGTTTTTCTGCTAGGTTCATAAAAATTATGTTGCCTAACATACATGGTTTAATAAAGGTTAACTTCGTGTGATTGTAAGACCTGTTGTCACTATGTGTGGAAATAGGTCATATCATCAACATATATTCACCCTTGAGAGACATTAGAATATAATAAGCTTGTCCGCTGAACAATCACTTGCCCTACATTTTCATTGTTCTCGATTCATTAGCTACACGCACCCTAAATAATAAATCAGCGACAACCAATCAAAAACTCCAAAAAACATTAATTAAACATATTTGGTTGTGTTTAAATCTTATGACTTATTGTTGTAGTGGGGATTGGTATAAATTTGTCACTGTAAATCAATTGACTACAGAAATGTGTATTCATCTTTAATGCAATAAGTTGTCCATGCGGACATTTCATTTAAATGATATTACTGTACATGGTAACATTTTCAGATATTAATCTAAATGTACATTTTGCCATTCCCAAAGAATTGATAAAAACTATACACTTTTAAATTTCTGAAAAAAACTTGTATAACAGTACATAAAAACATTCCCTAATATCTTGTAAAACAGTACACGTTAACATTCCCCAATAACTGGTATAACAGTACACGTTAACATTCCCCAATAACTGGTATAACAGTACACGTTAACATTCCCCAATAACTGGTATAACAGTACACGTTAACATTCCCCAATAACTGGTATAACAGTACACGTTAACATTCCCCAATAACTGGTATAACAGTACACGTTAACATTCCCCAATAACTGGTATAACAGTACACGTTAACATTCCCCAATAACTGGTATAACAGTACACGTTAACATTCCCCAATAACTGGTATAACAGTACACTTTTACATCCCCAATAATTGGTATAACAGTACACTTTAACAGTCCCCCCACTTTTACCCCCAATAACTGGTATAACAGTACACGTTAACAATAATTCCCTTTAACAATAACTGGTAAAACAGTACACTTTACATTCCCCAATAACTGGTATAACAGTACACTTTTACATTTCCCAATAACTGGTATAACAGTACACTTTACATCCCCCAATAACTGGTATAACAGTACACGTTAACGTTCTCCAATAACTGGTAAAACAGTACACTTTACATTCTCCAATAACTGGTATAACAACACGTTAACATTCCCCAATAACTGGTATAACAGTACACGTTAACATTCCCTTATAACTGGTATAACAGTACACGTTTACATTCCCCAATAAGTGGTATAACAGTACACTTTTAGATTTCCCAATAACTGGTAAAGCAGTACACTTTACATTCCCCAATAACTGGTATAACAGTACACTTTTACATTCCCCAATAACTGGTATAACAGTACACTTTTACATTTCCCAATAACTGGTATAAAAGTACACGTTAACATTCCCCAATAAGTGGTATAACAGTACACGTTAACATTCCCCAATAACTGGTATAACAGTACACTTTTACATCCCCC